GGGGGGGGGGGGGGGGGCATCCCCGAAGGATGGGTTGCTTGGATGTCAGGTGGGATGGCCCCCGAAGGATTGGGCTCTCGAATGCCAAGGGGGCAGCCCCTGGAACTTCTTGGACGCCAGGGGAGGCAGAACTGAGGGGGTTGGACTTCTTGGATGCCAGGGGGGCAGCCTCACGGGTTGGTCAGCTTGTATGTCAGGTGGGGTAACCGCGGGGGGCTGGGCTCCTTGGATGTCAAAGAGGGCCGCCTCTGGGGGTTGGACTTCCTGGATGCCAGGGGGGCATTTCCGAGGGTTGGGTTGCTTGGATTTCAGGTGGGGCATCCCCGGAGGTTTTGCTCCCTGAAAAGTACGTATCACATTGCTGAAATTCGTACCCTGTTGCCTGGGCCAATGATTTGCCTTCAATTAGCCGGCTATGCAAAATGACCGTCGTGACGCACGAATAGTGGTATCAGAATTTTGCATTGAGATTACGGAGTGGGTTGGAGGCGCTTTTCTGTAATATGTGAGTGCCCCTGTACAATGGTGTTGACCAAAAATGTTCATAATTTTGGAGTCTTCAATCGAGCCGTAATTTTGAAAAATGCCCGAAGAAAATTATTTTGATTATGAAGTAATAAGATTTTTCTTTGTGTGTAAGTTTTAATTCAAAAAAGAGAGACCAAACACTCGGTTTAGATTGTGGTTTTTAAGTCCTCTTGCGTTGGTCATCGTATTCTCATGCATAACTGAGAGAGTCGCCGTTTACAAGATAGCATCTTACTCAAAAGCGGTTGTGAATTCAATAAGTTGCACGCGGAAAAAATGAGCTTTCGTCGATGAATTGTGAATAATCAAAATTGAAGAAAAGGTACTTTGTCCACTGGTCTATTTGAAAGGCGTAAAGCGTGGATGGATGGAGCATGGATGTCCTTCGGGTTTCTACGGGCACTATATATATATCGTATACATATAGATGGCTGTAGGTTTTTAACGGTGTATATGCCAAAGTGTTGGAGGAAAAATAGAAAAAAAAGTTTTACCTATAAAATTTTTTGAGGGTCCAAGAGGAGACGATATATTTTAGAGATCCCGCACTGTCTTCTTAACTACCCATGTTGTAAAAGTTACTCAAGGAAGCCAAATCTCTGATTCACTTATTGTTGACTCACGGTATTGGATCAACTGAAGCTTCTATAGTCAAGTTTTAAGTATGAATAAACTCTATTTTTTATCTTATTGATCAGGAATAGGTTCAAAACGCTAATAATTGCAGAAATACGTATCTCGTGATCAAATGTCATTTTCCAATCATGCAATGCTTGATCTGGCCATATGAGATCAAACTAAATCTTATCTAGTAAGGAATTGTAAGCGCGAAACTCTTTTTCCAGTCTTTAAATGATACAAAACCGCCGACAGGTTTAAAACACTACTTGCAAAAATGCGTATCTTATGATGAAGTGTCAATTCCTATTGCCGAAAACGCGAATCTCGGCATTTCTGCCGTATTTTATAACAGTTCGAGAAATTATTCAAAATTCTGATGGAGTCTGAAAAAACATCTTATTCTTGCTATTTTCAAGAATTATTACCCTTCAACTAAAAATAAAGAGGAATGTAGACAGTTTTTTTACTCTCCTGGAAAATCGTGTTTTCCGAGATAGGCACTTCTGCACTTTCACCATCAATTAACCATTACCAAATTTAACTGAACAATTCAATTTTTAGAAGAGAACTTTGGTGCGAATTACTTTGAAAATATTTAGGAATTTGCTTTGTACCATACAGAAAATTCATTGTTCACACAAAAATCCGCACAGCCGTTTTCATGGAAAGAAATCCAATTACCCAATCTAATTTGGCAATAGCCGATGTGGCTTGGTTCCATTCTACTTAGTGCGGTCCCATTAGAGTAACATTAAATGGAAACTTTTTTTTTTCAGGGTAAAGGATTACACGTGTGACATCAGTGTTATGATGATTTGAAATCCATAGTATGACGGTAGGTTCTATTTCTCGGTAAAATGGAAAAAAGTTTTGGAAATAATAAAAAATCAAATTAACCCGAGACTTTTTTTCGCGCTAGGTCTCAAGTCGAATCAAATTAGCTCGTTTTTAAATGCATTAGTTTTGATACTTCCCTCGTAAAATTTGGCAGTAAAATCTGTGGTCGAAAACACCATAGACCTACGGCCGGCTGTAAAATTTCCAATAGCTTCTATAGCCGGCTACACAATTTCTTATAGCCTTTAATAGCCGATGGCGATTGAGCAACTCACAGCCAGGCGATAAAGTGTATGCTAAGTCACTAATTACGGATGCTAGGACTTAGTGAGTGTTTGGGTCACTGCTCTCTGTTTGGGCCGTAGTATCTTGATTTATTTTGCGAGGAAAGCTCCGTACTTTTGATGGATACCTGCCATTCCTAATACATTAGAGCGCCTTCAGTTTCGTAGGATACTGTGCAATACCTCTGGTGTGAAATAGTTGCTTCAAGCACCGTGGCACGCTGCGGTGCGGCAGGCGGGCAGCCAGCTCGAAACGCGCATTGGCGCCTACAAACCTAACAGGGATACCTCACGCGTTGCGCAATGCGTGAAGTATCCCTGTTAGGTTTGTACGCGCCAGTTCGTCGCCGCTCCGCTTTGTGTTAGTTTCTAATATTTAATCTGGCGGAGTCAGCGTTACTCAACTCATGATTTTGAAATGTTTACACGTCCTGTATGAAATATTCTCGTTTTAATTGATGAAAAAAAATATGTATTAAAGGAAAATATAACGCGTGTTTTGTAAATATTAAGGTGGTTCCGTATCAAACTTAATGATTTCCAAAGCACACGAATTTCTACACAATTTCTTATAGCCTTTTATAATCGATGGCGAAAAAGCAACAGCCAGGCGATGAAGTGTAAAGCCCGGCGATAGGAACTATAGCCCGGCTGCATAATTTTGTATCGCTTCGCATGGCCCGGCTGTATGATTTTCTCCGCATTCTACAGCTAGCTATATGATTATCTGTATCCTTCTTTAGCCGGCTTTAAGAATTCCTATGGTATTTTGAAACGCAGCTTTTATCGCCAATTTTTACCGGGGTTTTGAAGTGTTAGCTATGTTATTTCTGTATTTTCAAGTATAAGAAATACTTTTTTTTTGAAATTTTCACTTAGTGGTGTAATAAACTGATGCTTTCTCAGCCCCTCCCCTCATCATCCGCCTTTAACTCCCCCAGAAGAGATGATCGGGGCAATTTATTTCAGCTTGAAACAGCATTTTCGATATTCTCCCATTTGAAGATATGGTGAAGAATCGATTATTAAGGTGTTCGTTGCGAACACCCTGCTTATCGATCATTTTCCATAGGTTTAAATGGCAGCTCAATCGATATATCGCAAATCACGACACGCAACTGGCTTCAACTATGTAGAGGTAGTCGTCAAAAAATAAAAAATTCCCTGACATGACCAAATTCTATATATAGCAAATTCACATATATACCAATGGAGCTGTTGCAT